TTTCCGGATCTTTGGAAAATCCAATTTTGACCGCGTAGATCGTGAAAATTGACCTATGTGCGACGTGATGTCCGACGTGATACTCGGGCGACAACAGGTTGGCAGCATTGTAGGCGACGGTGCGCGGGTGCGAATCGGTTGGTCGACGTTGTCACTATGACAACTGGAAGAAGACACGGTATCATTAGCGGTGGGTCGTCGTCGGCCGTGCGGAACTTGCTGGACTTTGCACCGCGGCGTATAACGCGCGGTGTTGGTCAGTCAAATACTCATAAAATGGAGCGACGGCTGAAAATGGTGGCACGAGTCGCGAGGCATCGTGTATAACAAAGCGACGAGGGCTGTGTCAATACATTTAAAAAAACATGATTTTTTGTTTCACATGAATTTAACGATGGATTTTTACAATTATAATCAAATTTTTAATACGCTAAATTGAGTAAATTTTAAATACAACTTTTTTTTTTTGGTTCTTTTAGTCAAAGTAAATCATTAAAATTAATTAAGTTTTAAATATTTCCATTGTAGAATCTTTTTTAACACCAAAAGTTAATTAGAAATGATTACTATGATTTTTATTTAAGTGATCTATTACGATTAAAATGTAAAAACAAAATCGAACTTTTCTGATAAATTTACTGTAAATAGTAATAATAAAATTTCCTGACTGCTTATTTATCTTAACAATTTAATTTTTTTCTATTTAATAATGTCAATTTTAAACTTGCAAGTTGAGCTAAAAGTTATGGTAATAAATTCATTTTTTTTTTTTTTTGTTATTATAAACTTTCACTTTAAAGGACGAAATAAAGAAGGTTAAAAATGATTAATTTTAACATATTAAAAATTAATACCAATAATAATTTGAAAACAATTCAACATAACAATTATGTAATAAACAATTTTATAATATATATTTGAATCTAAGAATTACTAATCTGGATATAATTAAGGAATTGGTTGATATTGCTTTTGTTAGAATCTAAACCGATTTCTTAGAATAAAAAACTATCTACAGATTTGCATCGAAGCGTTTCTTATGATAGTGATTTTAATCACTGTCAGATAAAATCTACACTGGACCCAACTATGCCACATCCCCACTCTACCGCGATCCCCTCTGTGGTAGGTTTTTTCTAAAACATGCGCAAGAAGATTTTTTAAACACTAACCACTCGATTTTTTAAAAAAGTAATTTTTTTTGTTTTTGCTAGTTATATATGTGTCTCACATCAATTTATTTTGTTGTGATATACATATATCACGAATATCTATATATTTATACTTGTACAAAATTATTTGAGATATATATATATATTTAACCCTTAAACAGTCGCGTGGGGATCTAACATACCCCCACATAAATAAAAATTGATGTATTATATTGCATAAAAGGTGTACATAGATATAAATTTAGAAGATGGTTTTTATAGTAATATTGAATAGATTTTCATAAATAAATACCTTCGAAAAAAAATTGTATGACTTAAAATATCTATCAAAATTGATATGGGTCATATTGTTGACCCCCACGTGACTTGTAACGTTATAATTTTTTTTTTTTGGACTTTTATTTTTTTCAAAATATCGTTTTATTGTAAATGCAATGTTATAATCGATATAATATTGTGGATTTATGTGAATCTGCCACCGACTGTGCAATTAAGTTTTAAAAATAAATAATCTATTTAGAATTTTCACTAATCGATGATACGGAACAAATAAGAACAAAACATGTAATAAAATACATCGTCGCAATGTAACAAATAAGTGTATATACTCGTATCATAATAATTAAATGTATTGTAATATTAATAATAAAAAAATTCAATTCAGACAAATGATTATATAAATGTAAATATACATAAAACTAATAAATAAAAGCCGAGTTTGCGCTCAAAGACATACAAGAAAAATTAATTAAAATACATTTTGTAATAGTAAAAGCTTTTGTTTACCGTCTTAAAAATAAGATTTTGCTGTTAAAATCATTTTTTTACAAACCAAAATTTTTTAATGAAATTTTGAAAATTAAGTATTATTTTTTTTCGTAATATAATATTTAGTAATGCACATAATTTTGTAATTTATTTATTTTTTATTTTTCATCCATGTTTATATATCACATGGTAACATATAATGTCTTTGAATTTAAAAAAATGAACTTTTTTATACATATTTTATACTTTTTTAGAAATGGGGTCTGATAGACCCCCAAGCGACTATGAACCTTAAAAATAGGCACGTGCCTGCTAAAGGGTTAAGTTGGTGCTTATATTACAACAAATGGCAACAGCCATTGAGGTAACTGGAAATACCTGTATCAATTTTTTTGTATTTTATTATTCTTGTTAAATTCGTACGTGTGTGTTTGTACCCAACAACTGTACCTTGTGAATACGCGTTATCTGGTTCCCCCAAAAAGGAGTCAACACCGGTCAGCCATAGAAGTTAAAGTAAGAGGCTTTTAAGTAAGCCGATTCAGTTTTTATTTCTTATTATATTAGATTTTGGCTTATAACTTGGAACGGTGAAGTCTCCCTCACTTTTTTTTTTATTGTTCGTATGATTATTTGAACGTTATTCGTTGGAACGTCGAGGACGTGTACTTTGTCCGCTTGATAGCGCACGCGACAGAACATTCGCCACCTGCCGAATAACGCGCCGATTGAGACACGTATGACTAGAAAGGTCGCTGTCTCGTATGTCAATGGAACAGCGACAGATGTCCAACATGATTGAGCGCATCAGTCAAAGTATGCCGGTGTAAATTAACATTGAACGAAATGACAGTTGGCAATTGGACGCGCATCGCATTACATTCGGTCCATTTGGAGCGACGGACCCGACGCAACACTTCGCGAGCGACTCGCGGACATCGAAGCGCAATACGCCCACAATTTGTGACGGTCGTACATTAAAGCGTCACGCGCGTCGCAACACGAATGCAAACAACACTGAATCTAATGGCCCTTACCATTTATATACCGCCAACAATATTGACTCTATTTCGGCACCGCACCCCTCTCATCAGAGTGGAAGGTATTTATTAAATAACAGTGTTAATGCTTATAAAGAAAATAATATTATTAATAATGATCTCGATACTCCTACAGTAAATAAGCAGCATGAAATTAATAGGTATGGTAGAAAAATTGTAAAACCTAGGGAGATACTTGTAATATTTGTACTATCATTTAATTACTTATTTTAAATTGTTTTTATTTCTTATTATTGTATATATTATACATGATGTATTTGTATATTTGATTGTTTATATAAAAAAAGAGCATGTTACATAATTAGTCATATTGTTATCGTCTAGTGTGTCTCGTGTAACTTATTTCATCAGCTATTATGAATAATTATTATTATTGTAATATAAAGTCTTAATTAAATAATATGAATACTTTTTATCTTTTCACATCTTATTATGGTCTAATTGTACCATAACTTAATAGTCATCACTAAGTAATATTATCACATTTTGCCAGTTTACACAAGTTTAATAATGAATTTTTCAGTGGGCCAAGATCCCAATTAATTAAATTGTTTTTATTTTTAAACATTTCTATTGCTTCTCTGATATTAAGTTCTTTGTAATNTATTTTTAAACATTTCTATTGCCTCCCTAATATTAAGTTCTTTGTAATTATTTACGTTTTTAATTAGTTTTATTGTTTTAATGGAATGATTATGTGTCAATAAATGTTCAGACACTGGAGATCTCAACTTCTTGATTTTTAATGTTTCTTAAGTGCTCTTTTAACCTGACCGCTATATTTATTTTTGTTTGTCCTACGTAACATTTATTACAACTTTCACATTGTATTTTATAAATGCCTGATTTCCCCCTTCTTCTACCTTATCTTTAGGGTTACCTAATAAATCTCTTACATTATTACTCTAACTAACTATAACTAAAACAATATCAAAATTCTTAAATATTCTAGCTTGTCCATTTGAGATACCCGAATAATATAAAATGGGTATCTAATTACTTTTTGTTCCCCCGCGCTACTGAGTGGACTAGCTGCTATACATTTTTAATTTTTATATGTTTATTTTTATGAAGTTTAAATTTAATTTATTTATTGAAAACTCACGACAATTGACTCTAATTATTGTGTTATAACTATTATAAAAAATCGAAAAAAAGTATGGATAACGATTCCGAAATTATTGGTCCGTGAAACACAAATAAGAAAAACCTTTTAGTAATTTTTAAAATGGCATAACTATTTTTAAGGTTAGCAAGTTTTTTTTTTATTATTATTTCAATTTTACAAAAAAATATAAAACATTGAAAAAGAATTTTTTGATCATATTATTATTTTCAACTTTCGTTCTAAAACTATTATCATATGAAATATTGAAAAATATATAATCCATTAATGCAAATTAGGTTTTTAAATTTTTTAAAATTAAAAAATTTATGATTTGTAAGTTATTTTATTGAATATTTGAAAAATTATTATTATTCTACTTTTTTGCACAGCCATAAAGATTGATTAGACATCTGGGATGTTTTTATGTGTTATTATTGTAACCTTATTTTGAACTGTGTTTATGTGTTGTGGTGCGGAATGTAGCTGAACGTGTATATGTTTTTTCTATAAATTTCAAAATTAATTAAACTTTAGAAATTTATGGTTAATAATGATTTAAACAAATTATTGCCGACCATGACGAAAATACGCCTGATTGGAGCTGATATATTTTTCCTCAAAGAGTTTATTAAGTTTCATATGACTCCAAAAATTGCCAGAATGCCAAGTCAATCAGACAATAATAATATTAATTTTTTAAAGTTAATAAATTTCGCTCAGAAAAAGTATTTTTAGGTTAGAGGTAATGAATTATTACCATATTAGAAGTTGATTAGAAAATGGTAGCTTATCAATTACAATTAACCCAATCTGACCTTATTTATTATATAATAATTAATTAAATTCATTGTATTAATATTATAATAACATATATATTTAAGATTTTTCAATGTATTTTAATATTTCCAGACAGTTTCAAAAACAAAAAAATTTTAATAGAAATTTCGTATTTTCAATGATCGCAAATGTGATTTTTTTTATCTATTGTTTTGATGCAATCGTCGCAATACAGGTCTGGACAAAATGGCGAAATGCTGTTTATTCCTCTTTTAGCATTACATTTTCTACATTTCACTTTTTTCCATTTTGCTTTAACATTAAAAGCTAAAAAATTTGAGAATTGAGTAGATTAGTTAATTAAAAGTGTGCTATGAAGATTTGTATATGTATTGGTATTATTTGTATTAAATGTTTTTAATCGGCATATAAGTGCTAGGATAATACCACTTTTAAGATTCCCTTCACAACATGGACAATTACGTAAATAAGCGTATTCGTATAGCTTAGCACATGAATAGCAAAGTCTTTTTTTACAACATATGAATGTATAATTTTTTTGAAGATCTTCAGAAATAACATCATCACAATTACAGCATTCTAAAAAAATTGACAACATTATTTCATTTTTTTGTAAATTATAATCTAAATTAATTCAACTATAAGATACATTTTAAAAACTATATGCTAAAATTTTATACTTAATTAATAAATGATTAGAGCATAAAAAGCTTAATATTATGCTTAGAATTGAAATGTTCTTTAATTATTCTAAAAATTTAGAGGAAAATTCCTCTTGCATCACTCAATCGTAATTTTATCTCACTGATACTCACTATTCCTTAAAACTGCAAAAGTTTTGTAATTCGTTAAAATTAAGTTAAAATTAAAATGTAAACAAGTTAAATTTAATCCTTTACTTTTTTTTTTATATATTAACATAAAAGTTCAGTTGGCGATATCTCATTTACTTTGAGCAAAAGAGAAATTAAATTAATGTAAAAACTAAATATCTTTGTTAAGCTCTAAATTTTAACATAACTCTGACTTTTTTGGGTGGCACTTAATTTTATGTATGTTTTTAAATACAATACCAGTAGTTATTACATATTTAGAACAAATTAAACACTTCTTATTTCCTTTTATTTTTTGTGAATTTAGAATACATGTTTAAAAAAATATTTGCAATGTTTAAGACTACCTATTTTTCAGCCTCGTAAGAACTTGATACTCAAAAAAAAAATCAATAAATTATTAATAATAATAAAACAACAAAGAAAAAACCCAACCCAGCACAGGGGGGTCGCGGCACAGTGGTGACGTGGCATAGATGGATCGAGTATAATGATATTTGATAGTGATTAAAATCACTATAAAAAAAAACGCTTCGATGCAAATCTTTAGATAGTGTTTAATTTAAAAAAATTGGTGGATTATTCCAAAAGCTACATAATGTGCTAGTTCCTTATTAATATCCTAATTAAGATAAAGTATGTCGAATGAAAAAGGGATTATTAAAAAATATTATTTCTCATAAAAGAATAATGTTGATGCATACACTTTTCAATAAGTTATAGCATTATAAAGTTAAAAATAAAAAAACCCAGCACAGGAGGATCGCGGCACATAATTTTCACACAACAATAGCATTCGGTAGCTATTTTCACTGTGAAGATAAGATAAGTCCAAATTTTTTTTTTTTGCATAATAAAGTAAATTACATTAGCTTTAATTTAAGATATATATAAAAGTGTCAGACTTTCGGGAACACTTTCAAAATTTAAGTTGAAAAAGTAAATTTTTTGTGAAAAAGTTGTCTTTTTAAATCCCCCCCTGTGGGCAGATAAAGGGTCAAATGTACAAAAAAAATATATCAAATGATAGGTAAAGACATTATGCATCTATAAAAAAAAGAATTATATTGATCCATACATCTTTCAAAAATTTATAGCATTATAAAGTTAAAAATATAAAAAAGAGAGAGACAATGAAAAAGACAATGAGGTGACCAGTTAAAGGCACCTTTTTTGGATATCACTTTTTATCCAAAAATTCGTGAACAGGACCTAATGAGTCGTTAGAATGGTGGCATGTTGCCCCATCTTGCTGAAACCACGATCGTTGATTAAAGCCATCGAAATCCTGTAGCGCTGGCGAATAAAAATTCTGTAGTATGGCAACATACTGCTCTGTATTCACTGTAACAGAATTTCCTCAACAATCTTATCAAAGTAATGATAGTATGTCTTGTCTAAGAAAGAAATGTTGGTAAAGCTGTTGAACCTCTGTAACATTTCGTTTGCAAATTGGATCCTGCGAGCGTGATCTCGAGGCTTTAATTCCTGTACAATTTGGATTTTGTAAAATACGAAATAGTCCAGTCATTTAAGCTCTAAAATAGGTGTAAAGTGGAATTAAATCGGAAAGTTTTGAAACTTTGCAAAAAGTTAGGTTATAGGCTCCTGATTTACCTAAAAAAATTCGCCATCCCTCATAGGTCCGGAAGTTTCCGCCATCTTGGATTTTAAGTGCGATTTTTCACGTTTATTAAATTATCTTTGAAAATACTAAATTTATCTCAAAAGTACTTCTATACAAAAATGTAGCTAATAAAATTTCAAATCGATATGGTTCTATACAATTTTTTCGTAGATTGAATGGATTAAGAGCAAAACTTAACCATATGTAATAAGATCATACGCGCCTCACTATAATACTATATTTATGATGTACGTAGACAGCGCGCCGCGCCCGCGTCCATTAGAAAAGACAATATTTACCTCTTACATACATATATAATTGTATTAAAACATTACATTAAAATATTTACATCCATAATATCAATATANAGTAAAATCATCATCATCGGACTCTTCTTCATCAATTTGTTGTCCACAATTTAAACACGAAAGGCCAAAACATGTTTTGCACGCGGCAGAACACTTTAATCCTTGTTTTCGGCAGCCACATGCTGGTCCACAATTTTTCATGCACGCACATGTAATTTTTTCCAGTATACATTTTGGCGCTGGTTCATTCCATGAAAATATTGGTTCCAGTCCATTCTTGGTTGTTTGCCAGCCCCAATCTTTAGCATTTTTTTCTTCTCTTAGCCACGTTTGAACCTGATGATGCGTTCTATATATATACTGTTTCAAGGCTTCTTTTGACGGGGGTAAGCTTGCCAAGTTAAATTTATTTTTCGCCGTTTTTCGGGTGAATAGTAAATATCTGTATTCATCAATATTTTTTTGATTTTGCGGTGTGCCATATAATTTCAATGTATATTTTTCCCCGGCTTTAAAAATGTTTTCAGGTGTAGAGTTTGAACAGTTAAATACATTTACTATTTCTTGTAGTTCTGGATATTGATTGAGTAGTTTGAAATGTTTTAATTTTCCAGTATTATAAAAGCATGAAACAGTATCACAACCACTGATAGCGTGTAAAAATAAAATAGAAATTTTTAAGTCATTTACTTTTTGAATATTGTGTATTGAAAAAATTTTTTTTTCATTTCCTCCATTTCCTGGTTTTAAAAAAAAAATTTGATTTTCGACCGGAGCAAGAGCTATCAATAAAACTAGTAAGTCTATGTCTTGACCAACTACAACAATGGACTGATTTTGTNCAAAATACTACAATGGACTGATTTTGTATCCTCTTTACAGCTTCATGTGCAATTGTAGTGTCAGCATCGTCATTGGCTTGTTTTACTGTATAACCATTGCCTATGAAATATGAAGACAACATTTTTATGAATCGACTTTTGTTTCTAATATTTGATAGGAATAAAGTGGGTATGGAGACAACTCATATTTAAAATAATTTTTTAGTTCTTCATTGGACGTTTTCATTAAACAAATTCTTTGGAAAATCAAAAGTGGGTCGATGGATACTATTTCATCTCTTATTTTAATCGATGAATTTAATGTAGCTATAGGTAACACTCTGTTGCTTCTCTTAAGTTTAACTGACCCATACGGCTGTCCTATAATTTTTTTCATCTCAATTAGTCCAATGTTATAAGCGTCATGACAGTTAATAGTCTCATCTCCTACTACACCAGTTGTTAATGAAATTACTTTATTTGGCTCTAAAAAGGGGGGATGCGAAGAAAACCATTTAAGTAGTATATTTAAATCTTTAGTGTCTCTTGATATTCTTGATAGCCTGGCGTCAACATGTTGTTCTGAGTTTTCCAAGTAAACACCACAATATTTTTCTACATTTTCGCAAACATCGTGTGCAGCTGGTAATCCTTGTATCCACTTATTCAAAGTGCTTTCAGTAATACCTCGACCATGCGTGAGACCGCCATTAGTTTTCATTGAACGCATTAAGGTTTGTTCAATGGTCATATCCGACCAATTTCCTGACCAAAATTGATTTGTACGTTTTATAGTGAAATTACTTTCATTTATAAATCGTAACTGTTCATCAGCTGTCATTTTAAACTGTAAATTGGCCATATCATTTAAGTACAAATGACACGATTTTGCATACGGAAAGTGTCCACTAGCATGGAAATATGGAATCATTTTTTCAACACATTGAAGATGTAATTTCCAATTGCCCATTCTTTCAGCCATTATATACTCTTTCATTAAAGTTATCATCTCAAAATATTGCAACCAAAGTCTAGAAGTAGCGCCATTCTCTTTTAATAAATCTATTTGATTTTTAAATTGTTTACTTAATTGTACCATTACCCAACCCAACCAACGTGGAATAAAATAATATTTATATTTTACTAAATAATGTGCGGTATAAATGTATGATTATACTTCAATAAATTATAATAAAGCTTATATCGATGTGAATATTTTAATGTAATGTTTTAATACAATTATATATGTATGTAAGAGGTAAATATTGTCTTTTCTAATGGACGCGGGCGCGGCGCGCTGTCTACGTACATCATAAATATAGTATTATAGTGAGGCGCGTATGATCTTATTACATATGGTTAAGTTTTGCTCTTAATCCATTCAATCTACGAAAAAATTGTATAGAACCATATCGATTTGAAATTTTATTAGCTACATTTTTGTATAGAAGTACTTTTGAGATAAATTTAGTATTTTCAAAGATAATTTAATAAACGTGAAAAATCGCACTTAAAATCCAAGATGGCGGAAACTTCCGGACCTATGAGGGATGGCGAATTTTTTTAGGTAAATCAGGAGCCTATAACCTAACTTTTTGCAAAGTTTCAAAACTTTCCGATTTAATTCCACCAAAAATCGTTTAATGACTGGACTAAAAAATATGAAACAAAGATCTTTTGGGCATCAATAAGGCGTTCGACCGCTTCCCATAGAGAGTCCACGAATAGACGCTCTTACACGTTCGATGTTTTCGGGAACTCTTGATGTCTACGTCGGCCGAATCGTGGTTGACTCAAGTTTAATCAAATTAAAATGGACTTTTGGTCTACCTGTATTTATATAATGAAATATATTTGACCAATTTTGTGCGAAACTTAATTTTATGTGTGTTTGTAAATACATAACTAATAATTATTAGATAGTTAGAACAAATTAAACAGTTCGTATTTCCTTTTATTTTTTGTGAATTTAGAATACATGTTTAACAAAATATAGATATGCAATGTATAAAAGTACCTTTATTTTCAGCCTTGATACAACTCAACACTATAAAAAACATTCATTTAATTAATAATAATAATAAAACAATGAACAATTTTTATTCAATTAAAAAGCCATAGAATAATTTGAATTTAGCTTATTTTAAAATTTTGCAAATCTTATTTATACAAATTTTTATACTTTGAATTTTTATTTTTTTCGTAACTGCTGCTCATATGTTCTTTATATGTTTTTAATAAAGTGTTTTATAAATACAGAATGATCATGAACCACTTGCTTACTCACAAAATAAATACAATAACGGAAAAAAAAATTTGATTTCTTTTAGTTTATATTTTATATATAAATATATAATTTTATATATTTTAATTTATTAAACTATAATTTATACACAAAAATCTATGCTTGAATTTTATCCAAAAAGTAAATAATTTGAGATAAAGGGTTAGTACATTAAAGCATAGTATTATGCATAGAATTGAAATATTCCATAATTAGTATAAAAATTTGGCGTAAATTTCCACTTTCACCACTTAATCACAGTTTTGTCTTTATTTTTTTTCTCCGATCGTCTTGGTTGTGGACCGCCCTGGAACTACCGTTAGGTATTACTTCAGGGCGGCCCACGCCGTCTTTAAAAATCACACCACCACGTTAGCCGGATCCTAGAGTGGGATCCGTTGCCCGGGTTGCACCACATGGTGGTGGGGGCAGGACTTTGCGAAGGGGGCACAAATAACTCACGAAACAAAAACATAAAAACATGAAACACGAATACCTAAGGCGCCGGCCTAAACCAGCGCGGCGATCGGCGTGATGGACCGTGGCCTAACGGTTTGGTTGGGTGAACAAGACCGCTTCGGTCTTGTCCAGGGCGAGGCTCAGTCCACTCCCCTCCTGCTGGATCCAGGCGGAGACTGCGCTGAGCGCGCAGTTTGCCCGGGATCCAGCCTCCTCGGCCGAGGCGCCTTCCGCCACCACCAGCGTGTCGTCCGCGTAGCAGACGACGCGCACGTGCGGTGGTAGCGGAACGCGGAACACCACATCGTACGCGATGTTCCAAAGCAGAGGGCCGAGAACTGACCCTTGCGGGACGCCTCCCGTAACAGGTCGGATTCTTTCGTAAGAGATGACCCGATCGCTAAAGTACGACCGGATCATCTGTCCGAGGTAAGGAGGCACCCGAAACGCGACCAGCGCTCCGAGGATGTGTGACCATCGCACGGAGTTGAACGCGTTTCGGATGTCCAGGCTCACTGCCACCCCGAAGCCCTGCTCAGTTTTGGCCCTGAGGGCCAAGTCCCTGAAGAGGGAGGCCGCATCGTCCGTCGACCTCCCCATCCTGAAACCATACTGGCCCTCGGCCGGTCGACCGACGTCGGCCAGGTGGGCTTCGATCCGGGTGACGAGGAGCCGCTCGAGGATCTTCTCCAAGTCGTCCAACATGCAAAGCGGTCGGTACGACGAGGGGAGACCCTCGGGCTTTTCACCCTTCTTCAGAAGCACCAGCCTGGCCTTCTTCCATTTCGTGGGGAATTCACCCTCCGAGAGGCAGCGGTTCGCGACGGCGCGTATCCAATCCGGGGCGAAGTCGTGGACCAACCCCCACACCCGGTTTGGAATCCCGTCGGGGCTGGGAGCTGTGTTCCGGCCCCGCACACGAGCCACCGCGTCAGCTACCTCTTAGCTGGTGAATTCCACCACTGACACGTCGTCCCCAAACGCCGGGGGAGGCAGGGGCAGATGTGTCGGAAAGAGCGTGTCTACCGCCCTTTCCAGCACATCCGCCTCCAGCTGACCGGAAGCCGGTGGACCGCGGAGCTTCCGCATAACGACCCGATAGGGTTTCCCCCACGGGTCGTGGTCCACCGACTTCACGAGTTCGGCCCAGCATTTTGCTTTGGCCCGCCTGATGGCGAGCTTCAGCTCTTTGCGGGCCGACCTCAGCGCCTCCCTCGGGTCCGGGGATTCCGGGTCCCGCGGCCAACGGTTGGAGCGCGTCATAGTCCTCCTGACCCTGACGCACTCCTCACGCCTGGCCGCCACCTCGGCGTTCCACCAGTGGACTGGCGGTCCGCGAGTCGACGGCGGTCGTTTGGCCGGGAGGGCGAAGTCGCA